ATAAATATAATACATTTCTTTTAAAACATTTTATCTTTAAAGAATCCTGAAAATTGGTGCCATAAAATGCTTTGAGTAGTTCTTTTTCGATTTTTCTAGTTTTCCACATATTTTAGAAAAAAGTGGTTAAACGGCAGGTTTTATYGCAAAATTTTCAAAGGAAAAGTTATAGGAAATTAAATTTTGGACAAAAAAATCTTCGCTCTACTGTCATAAAGAAGCTTTGTTTCAGTGATATTACCGATTTAATTAAAAAAAGGTAAACATTTTAAAATTTTAATGAAGTTTTTTGTATTTAAAACTTGATTCAATGACTTTATATCAAATTTTTATTTAAACCTATCGCAATTATTATAAAAAGTCAACAATCAATGCATGTATTTTATCTCACTCAAACTTTTTTTATGATCTCACCAATCGGGCCCTCTGTTAGATACTTTGATTGAACACAAATAAAACACCCTAATATATAATATGTACAAGTACCAATAGTATACGAATATATATGATTAAATATTATTATTTGCATGCCTATAAAATTTTCCCCGCTTTTTGTGTTCACTTTTACTGAAAATTTTAAATTAATTTATGCAGCAAAATTGACTTCAGAAAATTACGCGGATTGGTCGCCGAAGCGAGAAAGACTTGAAAGAGATTCAACAAACATTGGTGGCTAGGTTTCTAAATACATTTATATGCAAATTGTTTTAAATATAATTAATTATGCTGTTAGTTTGTATGTAGTAGCAAGCGCTGGGGGTCAAGGATTTTTATAAAACTATAACAATTATTTATTTGTGAATATTAATTAATTAACTAATTTTGTATAATWACTATATATTAAAATTTTGTTTGCCCTCGCTGTGCTGCATTTTTGTGACTTCTAAAAAAAAGGCATTTACTTAAATTTAAATTCAAAACAAAACACAATTTACATTAGGTCATTAGGCTCGGATTATGAAAATAAAATTTGAATTAAATATKTTTCATAAAATATAAATTAATTAACTACATGAAGTTATTTAAAATTTTGGATTTAAGTTCGATCACAATCGTGGCTCRATGCGATGGTGCATTATCATCGTGTAAAATCTATGAATTCTTCTACCATAATTCCGCTCGTTTCCGAMGGGTGTTCTCACACGAACGCCTTAATATGACCCTACTGACCGTGAGTATCTTCGGAACAAATTCATGATGCACCAAACCACGAATACCGGAAAAACCAAGCAGCATCACCTTGACTTTTGAGCGGCTTTGGCGTTGTATTTTAGTTTCGGTTAATAAATTGGTTGACAGATCGCTCTCATGTTAGACACAGTAATAAAGGACAGTTCTATTAACTTAGAAAATGATTTTTTTTTTAAATATTTTTTGTTATAATACATTTTAATGCAGTCATCAATTAAATTATAATATTAGGTTTACACGACAGTAGAGCTATGTGAACCTCACACCGAAATCAGACACTACAAACCTACTTTAACTCCTAAATAAAATAAAACTATATGCCATTAGATTCTTTAGCTGTAAGAACAAGTTAGAAAACGAAATAAATTTTACACAAATGGTGCCTTTAAGGCACGGWAGATCTTCAATAAAATGTTCGATATCAAAAAATAATTTTTAAAACTCTCCAGCTAACTGATATTGGATAGTCGAAAAAGTCTTTTCGTATTTCTAATCAAACTTCAACTTATTTTTTTTTTATATTTATACTAATAAATATATGCCATTTTGTTCAACCACTTTTTGTCATTTTTYCTTTAAAGATATTATTCCATCAGTGTAAATCGAAATTTCCCGAACGGAAGTGCTACACGAACTGATACAACATTGTCTCTGTAAACTTCACAAATTTCAATGGGGGCTTGCGTGGCATTCGTCTCTTTTTTAAACAAAAATTTCAAAATATAGCGAATTTCTTTATTATTTYCACTTATTTTCGAATAGCTGTAAATTTTCTTAAAATTCCCCGTATTACATTTTTTTCTTGATTAAATGAAGCTTAAAATTTAACCTTTCAAATACTAAATGATATGACACAATGTGGTTGGTAACACTGGAGATATACGACTGTAACGACAAATACGAAAAGACTTTTTCGACTAATCAATAGTATAAAAGTCTAGTTCTAATCTGCTTTTGAAATCAGAAAGAGCAGGATATGTGTCATATATGAAGATATAATATTCTACATTTTTGTAACAAATACTCACATATGTATACATTTTATCTGTCATCAAAAAGGCAAACATGAGATTCGTCTTTACCGTGTAAATAAATAATTTTTAACTAACATTAACAGTTCTGTAAATAAAAACTCCACTTTTCATAAAATCTATAAATTGCCACAAAATTCCTTACTATTCGATACGATCAATGCTAGAGTTAAAATATTACTGAAACCAAACCCGAATTCATGACACAACTCGAGCTCACATCCTCTGGGGAAATGTAAATTTCCTCAAGCACTCTAAGCAAAAAAAAAAAAAACAGAAAAAAGTTAAGCAAATTGAAAACATTTATGCAAGCGATAAATATAACCGAATTATTTGAAAGAATTGCCTATCAAATGTTAGTAGTTGCTTGTGTGTTTGTATGTGTTGTATAATATTATTTACATACGCATACGTGCAAATTGTGCATAAAAGTACGTATATAGGTCTGTAATATCTGAATATATTTGAAATAAATGAAAATGTTTGTGAACAAATCAGCCGCATCAGCGATTCCTGAAATTATATGCAGAGATCAGTTTTCATCGAGTATGCCTTCGCTAGTTATACATATGTATACTCTACGCATACTYTTAGCTGTAAATCACACCACTTCATTTGCAAGCCATATGTATATTTATATACATATGTATGTGGGTATATATTTATAGGAATTTCACAAATACTGCATATATCGAAAATAGTATATTTTGAAATTACAAAAAAATTATATTATTAGAAATTAAAAAAAATAATAATTACTTTAAAAGTTTTTCTAATAAAGTTTAAAATAGAATATTTTTCAGATCAAATATTTTTTCAGATAGAATATTTTTATTGTATACTGAAACTTTCTTCATTCTTAGTTTCTAATAAAGGAGCAAAGAAGGTACATAATTTATACCTACAACTATTCCTAGAACCTGCCACCAGGTTCTTTCGAAACCATGCCATATATGTCTTTAGCTACAATAATATTTAATATTTCCTAACACTAAAGCAGTTTAACTTTAATTTTTTTAGTAACTAGACTAATATTTTATTTGGTAAACATATCATAAATTTCTGGAGTTGAAGCTCTGAACGTAGTGGTTTCTGCAYAGCTCTTTCCTTACATAAGCAGCAKATGAGGAATTCGTAATGGTTTGCYAACGATTTTCAAGCGAGAATCGAACGATGCACTATATTATCCAATCAAAAAACTTTCATTCTGAAAACTGGAAGGGCAGAAGCGTTYTTAGGCCCATTGTGGTCTCTGGTGGTGACCAAATTAAGTCTTATTCAGCAACTCAGTAGATTTGGTAATGTTTTCCCAACCCAGCTGTACTGTGTATCTGAAGTTGAAGCATTGGGARCCGTGGAATATGGACCATCGCATCCGGATGAGAGTTGGGTATTCACAAAGATAATGAATGAGGAATCTTAATATGCTCTCTGATGAGTCTTACAATATTATCACCATCAACACTACCCCAAAGTTAATTCATTTTATGCTCTAGGTTACTAACGTGTGKGATTCGAACTTATAATTAGCAAAACGCGTAATAGWAGTTTAATTTCCATTCCCGCCAGTTCGGTGGGATGTCTGAAGATAAGTGCTCCCAAGTTATTTCATACAGCTACTGCATATGGCGTATGGTAAGATTTCCAGCTTTAAAGAGTGGGTGCCAATAGAGCAATGGCCTGTTAAAAGCCACACAACTTGGGAGAGGCTAGCCTTATTGAGAGCAAAGAGATCACTTGGCCTAAAAGGCTGAATGCACTTTTAATGAATTCAAGGCTAGCATTGCCACTCTGCTATTTGAATGRAAGGTCACYTCTCTGAAGGAGGCYTCACTCCGAAGCAGTAAATCTACTGCTTATTTAATGGCTGCAAACTTGGCTTGGAATACACTGCAACAGTCAGGAAGTCTGAAGCTAAAGTTGATAAAAAGCTCTTTATAGTAAACCCCTTCTCACCCACAACTCCCGTGCCGGTATATGGGCAGAGAAGGAGCCGCCAGAGTTGGGTTTGGCGAATCCATGATCCAAATGATCCGATATAAAGTCAAAGTGAGCGAGGATTTCCGTGGGTGCAGACTCGTGTTATTTTAGGAATCCAGATTCTCTGAAGCTGATAGCAACTTTCGCAGTCCTACCTTGGTTGGAGCGGAGCTTACTGCACCACATATGCTGATGAGCGCCGTCCCGTTGACCGCTATCGAGTTCCTTTCCAAGTGTGGTCTTTCCAAGAGCACTCCACCATATTCAGACTCCATAGAACATTATGTTCTTTCGGTGAGAGACCCCACCTGTTTCCAATGGCAGCAGTACAAGACAATCGATGCATGTTTTGCTCTCTCCTCGATATTGKGGTTCCATGAAAGCTTTCTATTCAGGATGAGCCCTAAAACCTACAAGGTAAATTCTTTTACAAAAATATTCGTACATGTTTTCCTGAAATGCGCGATAAATAACATCATACACTTAAGGGAAATAATACTCAACAAATCTGAAAGAAATTTGCCTTGAGGTGTTCTAATTTCGAATTTGAGTTCAAAAATTTTCCATCACATWCAGCTTATTTTGACACTTAGTACTCGAAATTGAAGCACCTAGTACTTGATGAAATTGTGGATTAGTTATTTTAACATGATTTCAGATTAGATTAGGATATGTTAGGTTAATTTTGACGTGGATACTTGTTAGGTTAGCTTCAGCAATATTAAWTGATTAATTAAGATTCATGCAACAMGATAAGATTAATGCATGAAGATTAGTAAAAAYTCGGCTATTTTATATTAGAGTAGCTTCAAATATCTTATCCTCATTTTGTTAAGAAAGAATGTAAGTGGTTAATAGGATGTTTTCTAAGAAATGAGTTTTGTCCACAATTTTTCAAACATCTACTAACTGAAGTAGGCAATTTCGCAATTCCGCTTACGCATTACACCCTCTAAAGCTCGTACAAGGATAAAGTGAATCACGCCAATTACTGCTGGCAAATATCAAGTTTATGATACAACAATACAGCAGAGCATGTCAAGTGTAATAAATTATATACATACCACTAGTTATTGTCAAGTTCAGGGCCAATAACACCAATACACAAGGCGCAACATTCGTGCAACTACTCCAACGTTGGAGTACAGTAAGAGAGGGGCATGTTAGTGGCGACTGGAAGTTGACGATCATCCACCTATCATCTGGTGCCACACATAGATCAGTGTGTATGTGTTTAAACATAAGCGCGACTTGGCGACTTGTTCCTTTTCCCTGCAATGGTTTACATGGTTCATCTCGCGCATTTCGCGCTTACGAATGTTGTAGATCTTTAGTAGGTTCATTGTATTGCTAAGTAAATAGCCAGATCGGTATTTTTCTAGTTTTTTTATGGCAACAAAGTGGTTTGTTGTAACTACATGACGGCTGGGAGGAGTGCAAGTGCTGTCGGCTGCATGCCAACACACAGGACTTGAGAGGAAGGGTTCAACCCGAGTCAAGTTAGGTGCCCTGTTGCATGTATAGTTTATTGGCTTGCGGAATAATACAGAAATTAAATGATCACTGGCGATGATGGCTCAGTAATAACAGCGAATTCAGGACAGACGAATAGACTGGATATAAATGTAATAGCAGTTGCACAGTGTGGCAAGCAAGGAAAATGCAGAGAGTTATAGCTTGCAAAAATTACGAATTTTTTCAACACAGTTTACTTTTACCTCCTTTAAATTGACCCAGCGAAGCTCCAAAATTTATCCTACAAAAGAAGACCGGGTTGACGAATACAAAAAATTAAGGCTGAACGTGGTGATGGACTTATCCTGTAGAAGGAGACTTGCCTATAGAATTCCAAGCAACTATGTCGAAAGAGTAAAAAGTCCAAAAAGAACTGCAAATGCTTTTTCAAAATTAGTCTCATCTGCTATGTAGCAAAAGTTGTGACTRATAAACTGTAAGCAGCTTCACAAAATATAGCATCAGATAAAACGTTAGGCAAGCAACAGTATTTAGCAGTCCCGCTGTGCTTGGTTYGTTCAAAAACACGGTCGTAGTCGATCGGTGAAGCTGACCAACGAAGTTAGTGAACTGTTTAGCAACACATGACACGCAAAAGCAGGTACCACATCCTGCGTGTCTGCCTAAAAAATATCTTAGCCGTACATTCCTTCTAATCGCAAWCGCGCATACGCCGCAAAGTCAATGACTTTCCGCTCAACTTGTGTTCACATGCTGCATGTCTGTATATTTGCGTCTCGCTTGGCATCCCTTTGTTCGTGCGTCGCATGCCGCCAATTGTCGTCTGCGCATTTCGTGCGCGATTGCGCCAATGTCTAGCCGAACGGCTGTGCTTGTGAGCCGGCGCATCACCTCATCATTTAAGCAGTCGTTGTGGTTTTAGCTTTTACTGCCGTTTCGCAGGATCATTGAACGTTCTTGAAATATGTCAAGTTCAATAGCCCCGCACTGGGTTCGCGCATGAGCCTGCGCCTGCGCAGCGCTGTGCAGAGTCGCCCGGCAGCTACCGCTGCAATTAATGGCACTATGTCGGCTACATACTTATGTATATTCGTTAGCGCGCCGTTTTGCTGTTGCCAAGCAGAAATTAACAGGCAGTCCAAAGGACATGGACCTGCAGTTAACTAATAGGACGGGTTTGCACTTCTGCTAGCTGTCAATGTACTTTACTTCCACTACTGCTAMCCAACTGCTGGGTTCAATGCATTCTGCTGACGTTTTTTCTGCGAACTGCATWTATGGTGGATTATTTTTATCGGAATAAGATCGGTTTTATTTTTATCGCAGCGCGTTTGTATACAATTAATGCATTATTAATTCTTTCGCTTTCGATCGCTGGATGCTACTGCATTGTTGTGCGATGACAAGTTGTTGTGATCACGTGTGGTGTGTGTGTGTGCTGCTGAGGTATTAATAAATATGTTGTACTTGTAAGTATGCATAAGGGCGTTCTGGTAATTTGTGGTCAATAAACTGTAAGATTTCCACTACATTACGTGTGCGCATGCTCGCACWTACATAGCTATGCATATGTAAAACAAACTATACAGGATGTGTGAGGCGCGCTTGCGCTGGAAAATTTGCAGGCTGTGCTATTAATTGACTTGCAGCGTTATGACGGTAGCTAATAATTTTGATTTAAGTCATACTAA